GAAGAAAAAAAGACCTTTTTCTGCCCCACCCCCCTGTAGGGCCTAAGTGAGCCTTTTTGAAGACAGCGAAACTAAGCTTCTTCGCTTTCTTGAGGACAAACTGTACACTCAAACACAACAAATATTATTCCGCTTCTTGCCATGCGCGAGGTCAATGGACCCGCAACTGCAGTAGGTCCCTTTCTCCGCTCAGAACTGTAGGCGAAGGGGGCTGGAAGACAGTTATTCTCATGTGCCATCTCTCGATTTCGACCTGCTGCCTATAACGATCCGAGCGCCTCACCATGGCCAAACGCGCCACTTTTCTACCCCTTCACTTCTAGTTGTTCTCTGCCTATGACAGCTGGTTATTGGTGCGCTCTGGTATCGACGCAAATGCTGCACCACGAGGCCAGTGCTGGCGAAGAATGGATATGATCCGGGTATACCAACCCTCAGCTTCATTTCCGCGCGCTCTCATGTCAAGGAATTATCATCCGCTAAAGGCCAACCCATTAGCAGCGTCTTCGGAGGTGTTTGTGGAGTTTGCCTTTGACAATCACGCTTCGTTCCTTACCATCTTCACCACATTTACAGAAAATCTTATTTACCGGTATGTTTACAAAGACTGTTAACCATGCTCTATGAAACTCTTTAGACAGAAACGGTTGCTTTGAATAGCGACCTCAAAATATCGAGTGAGAAGTTCGTACCACTGGAAGTCACTTCTGCTGCAGTCACGGTAGACCCTACCAAGGCAATGGACCTAGAGCCAGAACTAAGCGTAAGTTCATCTATTGGAGTAGTCTAAAACTGCAACTCCATTCAGCCTTCAGTTGTGGCTATGCGTTCAATTGTGCTGGTTCAGGAGAAAGAACTTGCTGCCAAGTCTCAGTTGAATCTTCCGTTTACCTCGCTATCTAAACAAAGTGGTACGTAAGTTGAACGGAATTCAAAACTTTGGTAACGGTAAATAATGGGAAGGAAATGGGACGATAACAGGCCAGTTTGATTCAATCTATGTTCAGAACTGAATAACCTCCGAATGGCCGATCGCAAAGTACGAGTAGGTGGTCAAATCATCTACACACCAGATAAGGAGGATGACTTGGACGATAGCGATCCTGATGAAGATCTCAATTTATGACAGACCTCGATGTGATACTCAATGTTAATAAATTTTTATTTCTCTCTCTCTCTTCTTTGTCATTATGTCACTTTTACTCGTTTTCGTTTTGCCGTATCAAGTTCTTTCGTAGCAGCGAACTTGGGCCTCTTTTCTCCTACAGCTGTTTTGGAATGCGTCTTCTTTCG